CAGTTCATCAGGCTCTTAATGATTTAATCTGCCATCTTTTGGAATATCTGAAAGCCATGTACCATAGTTCTTAACTGTAGTATTTCTTATAAAAAGACTAGCCTATTAATCATTACCAGGCCAATAATGACTTTTTTTTAAAAAATTAATCAATATAGCATTTGTTATGAAGAAACAACCACCTGCACATTTAGAACCAATAGCTACAACATGCCACAGTTGTAATATAAATCTATAGGGGAAAATCTATTCCCTTAACAGATTATCTAAAATAAACTGTACTTGTACTTGCTAGTTTTGGTTATTGGGGGGTTATATTCTCCCTATCCCCCCCACAAACTACACCCCTGCATGCGAATGCATATTTTCAGCTGCATCTGGATCTGGCAGTTCATTTTCTCACTGTGAAGACTGAGAGTCGCTCACAAAAATAATGACATCATGAGGGAAAATATCTAGAGCAGAATTCACAGTTGTTTCCAAGTCTGTTTCATTATTAGATTATTATGTTGATTATTAAACATGATAGACTTAATTAGGTTAAGAGAAAGGTGACATGATGACATATTCATAGACAAGAAAGGAGGATATTCTGAACAGCACGACATCTGCCCTTGCAAACATGCACCCACACAGAAAATAAATGGATCTAATTGGATTTGAATGGTATAATGTGTTTTTTAATTGCTGACTGTGCCCTCATGATAACCTGTGGTCTGTTTATTCATTGTTTGAAGCCAGAAATCTCTCATTGTGTGACTCAGTTGGAGAACAGCTTTCCTGAGTTCACAAGCAAACTTGTGTCTAATTAAGCAGTTTCTCATAAATGCTGCAAGCAACATTGTTTAACAGTGCAAGCTTGTGTGTGTCCTACTGATATGTGACCCTGGACCACAAAACCAGTTTTAAGTCGCTTGGGTACATTTTTAGCAATAGCAAAAAAAACATTGTATGGGTCAAAATTATCGATTTTTCTTTTATGCCAAAAATCATTAAGATTTCAGATTTTCAAATAGTTGTATCTCGGCCAAATATTGTCCTATCCTAACAAGAAAATAGTTACCAAAAATTACTAGAAATTACCAACAAAATTTTGTTCATTAGGTTCGATTGTTATTACTAAAGAGTCTAAAGACTGATTTAAAGATCTCTAAATCTGCACTGCATTCTGGCGCTTAACGGACAGGTGTGTGACTGGTTAAAATGCTCAACCAAACCCTAATCAAGCCACTCAAGCCATAATTTTAATCAGTTCTTTTTTTGAGTACATGAGTTTATATAAGCATGCATGTGCATGTGATTTAACCTATTCAGAGTTTTGAAGCTAAATCTGTTTCTGGAGCATGACGTGCAAGAGCTTGTTTTGAAACCAGATACAACATTGTAAACACTGTGGTCGTGTCTTATTTTGGGCTCATTTGTTTTTCCTCTGACTCTCTTTGTAGAGCAAAAAAGAAGAACAAGCCGTTGAACCTGAAGATCCACAGCAGTGTGGCTGGAAGCTGTGAAAACCTGCCGACCCAGCGCTCTCCTCTCCACTCCGATCACTCACTCCGCTCCTTCTTTTTCCCCAATTTTGTCCCTTCGACACCACCGGTGCACTCCGACACCCCCTCAGCAAGTGAGTAGCAGCCATTAACGTCTTTGCAGGACAACACATTGTTTCAGTCCTACCTAAAACACAGATGATGAGAACATAACTCCATATATTATAGAATACTATACAAATTAAGATTAAGTCAACATGAAATCAAAATTGACCCATGATTGACTTTCTTAATACATGTTTCTGGTTTATATAAAAGTTAAAAGATAATATTTCGTCAATTTCTTTTCTTAATTTTTTTTTCTACACCTGATACATTCTGGTATTAATCACTTAAATCTTTTTTTATATTTGAAAAAAAATTTGCATTTAAAAAAATTCTTTAAAAGAAAAAAAATCTTCACATCAGAAATATTTTGCCTAACTGAATTAAAATGGTTTGTAAATTGTTTCATGTTGGCTGCAATAGTTAGAAATTTAATTTAATGTAGACAGTATTTATAAGAAATATTCAAGAAATGCATCACATTTACTAATGTCTTTTTAATATAAGTTATTATACGCTAACATTGTATTTTGTTATTTTGTTTCATTATATATTGTTTCTCATTTTGAGACAAATCCCTGATCTGAATTTCTTTTTCGTAACATTGTAGTTTTATCCCAAGTGCGTGTTTAAAGATATTCAAACGCTGTTGGTCAACATCGTTAGATCACAGCTAGTGTTGACAGATGTCTGATGACGCACGTCGTTCAATTACAACTTTCTTTGTCGTTTTCTTCCACAATGTGACTTTCCTTCTCATCACGTATTAAAGGGCAGCGTCCCAAACCCACATGTGTCCCAGGACACCTGGCATCGTGTGGGCGCATATTGTCCAAGCCCAATGTCTTCTACACCGGGGGCCTCTTAGCGTGGGCTATTAGAGGAATAATGGGCCGAACGGAAGCCGTGTGTATGTGAGAAGACTGGGAATGACACAAGAATGACGCAAAAGACTCCGTTTTGGAATGAGATTATCGTACAGATGGAGGGAAAAGTTTTGACTGCTTGTTTCCAGAATTATGAATGATAGACCCCCTCCAAGCTTTGGCAATCTGCTGTATGCTTTGTACATTGTACACTGTGGGAAATATCCGGAGAGGTAACTGTTAGGATGTTTTTCTTTTCATCATCCCGTTTGAATGGTTTTGACAAATTAATACATCATTTAATCACATTTTTTGGCTTTTATTGAAATCCAACTACTGTTGAGCAGTGTTTTTTTTTACTATTATTTATACTAAAATTATATTAATATTATATAATAATATTATTTTAAATTCTATTAATTTGAGTAATTCTTACTATAATTACTATTTGTAATTTTAAGTGATTTTTGTCACTTTTTACAATATTAATATTTAGGTTAAATTTATTTTTTATTTTAGTTTTTCATTTTTCATTTTTATTTATTTTATTTCCAATCAGTAATTTAAATTAATAGTTCACCCAAAAATGAGAACAGATTTAGCATCACATCAATTTAGAATTACATCACTTGCTCACCAATGGATCCTCTGCAGTGAATGGGTTGTGAAATGTTGCTTCTGGCCAAAATACAGTTCTCTATCCATAATATTGCTTTCTCCAGTGAAAAAGTCATCTTGTCTGAATCAGGAGAGAAATATGCCTAGATCTAGCACCATTTATAACAGTCCAAAATAGTTCTAAACAAATATGTTGGTGGATTTTTCAATTATGTGGATTATTGTGATGTTTTTATCAGATGTTTGGACTCTTATTCTGATGGCACCCATTCAGTGCAGAGAATCCAGTGATGTAATGCTAAACTTCTTTAAATCTGTTCTTATGAAAACACAAACTCATCCTGAACTTTTCCTTTAAATGAAATTAGAAATGTTGCCTTAGCTACTAACTGAAAGATGTTTTTGATATAATTAACAAAAATGATGTACCCAAACAACTAAATTCCTTCAGGCTTTTGGATGCAAGAGCTTGTTGCAAAACCAGATGAAAGATCGTTATAGTTGAATTTCCGATAAACCAGTTGCAGGGCTATAATCTCATTGGGTTTGTGGCAGCCACTGTAATGGCATTACTTGCGTTCTGGACCTCCCGATGGGGCTCCAGGCCGGACGCGGTGGCAGTAACCAGGCCTCGCGAGTGTCGTCAGCCCTGGTTAATGTGTCTGCTGTTTTTCTGCATGTGGTGACAGTATTATTGTACACAGCATGCAACAGTTTGCCCAAGGTTTGTACTTCATGGTTTCAGGTTTCTTGACATGCACAGAGAATACAAACAGTGTGTGCAATACTATGAAATGCTTACGTGTAGTTTAACTCTAGACATCACAACTGAAAGTAAAGGATAGGGTAGAGAAAGACAAACAACCCAGAGGATATTCATGGTGTTTGGATGTTGCACTTTCATAGATCAGGAGACTTAATAGAGATCTTAGTTTGTTTTAAGAATCTTAGATGTTTCTCCTAAAATTCCTTAGGAGAAATCAAAATGTTTGCATTTAAAAAGAAATGTCTGACTTTTGAGTGCAGATTTTGATATATTGGCAGGTAAATGCACAGTGTGTGATAATGTTCATAATGATAATAATAATAATAATTATTATTATTAATATTATTATTATGACCATTATTACTATTTCGCGCAGTCAAACGATTAATCGTGATTAATCACATCCAAAATAAAAGTTTTTGTTCACATAATATATGTGTGTGTACTGTGTATATTTATTATGTATATATAAATACACACACATGCATGTAGTCCGATAACAAAAATATGTTATGTTTATATATTAAATATATTTATATATAATATAAATTATATGAATATAAATATAGACATGGAAATACATGTAAATATTTTCAAAATATATACTGTATGTGTGTGT